TAGTACGTAGAGTAGTATATATATATATATATATATATATATATATATATATATATATATATATACTCGCAAGTCATGGGAAAGCAATCCCGATTTTCATAGCATTCAGAACCCATTATATAGTTTTCTTTATTGGCCCCCTCCTAGGCTGTACAACAGGGTTCTGGGCCATCCGCCGGGCTGCTCGAAACCACAGCTGACAAGAAACTGGTGAATAACACAGACTGCACGATTGTGCAAAAAGTCGCTAAGACGGTAATAGGAAAACCGCCGTCTCCAAGGAGATCACCGCATAAGTCACCGTCCAAGCCCATTGCCTCTAAAGTTCGGCGCGATAGAGATAAGGCGAAAAGACAAGGTATGCAGCAGGGTGTCTGGTCGTCATGCACGGTGCTCGTGGTTTTGTGCATGCTGTTGGGTGGTTTTATGTTTATCTAGCAATCTTGTGTCTTTGATTGGGATTCGCTACTAACATCCAGTTGCCGCTGTTCTACTCGTTTCATATATTGCGAATATAACGTTTTAAGTAATGATTGTTTTATCGCGGTGGCGTGCGCATATAAATTGGCTGGCCAGAATGATGAGCACCGGATGTTTAATGGCCTAGACAAGCCCAGAATCCCCACAGATGTCTGATTTGTCGCGTGCTTCCGATTGTTTGGTAACGTCTAACCGGTGATTTTATCGCGTTCACAACAGGGCAACTGATAGAAACTGGGGTCACGCGGAGCGGCCCGAGTGTGGTTTTCAAGGGGTTTTCAGACAACAAGAATTTGCAACCAATAGGATTAACGTTCGAGCCCGACATCTTAGCAGGTGGGTTTTGTACCACAGTTCCCGCTATTTAGTTGCCGGTTCGATGCGCCATTTTAATCGGGATTAGATACAGCTATATGTTCCTATTTTCTAGGCGTAGCCATGGGTGCACCTGTTCTTCAGTTTTTTTTTCTTTTTCAGTTGGGTTATTTAGACACTCTAATTCTGCAGCTTTTAGTCGTCTGTACGGAGCGCAATTTCTATGGACACCACATTGGTTGTTGGCTCAATTTTTCGCACGCCACCCCATACAAATGTGAAGCTTCTCAGACTATTTATTTAACTTGTGCATGGGGGTGTTTTTAGGCCCAGAAGCAGAGTACGTGCTCGGCATTACATCCAAGGTTCCATCAGAGAAGCGTTCGCCGTGGTCGACGGAGGGGCTTGGCGGCAGATATCAGAAGGCTTACTACATCAATGACGAGCAGGTGACACATATCCAGGTGATTTAACTATCTTCTTAACTACCCATGTCTCGCTCGAGATTTTTTTATGGTCTGTGACTGGTGGAATGTGAGATGGATATGATTGTACAGGGTATCAAGGTCCAAGTGAATGTGTACGGCTGTCTTATACAGTCAGGGTATGGTGGATGTTGTATGATGTTGGCACATTACTACTTGGTAGTCTATATGTTCTGAAAATGAATTACTCGCTAATTGACCTATTGTGAATGTGAGGAAACGTGGTGTGCTCGCCTGCTATATGTGCGACTGGCGATGGTTCGGTAGTGTGCCGATAAGCAATCGTATGAAGTCTTTGGTATACCCTGTTTCTGTATTTTATTATTATGATTTGTACCGTTTCAGTACCCAACAATCAAAAGCCAACCTATGCCTCATCTTTGTACTGTATGAATCGGATTGACCAGTGCGTCGACTTCAGAGCTGTTTTCTTGAGATTCAACAATAGTCTTGGGTTTAAATAGCGTTCATGTTTAGTATGTCTCGCTGTCTGTTGCTAAAATCTATCATCCTGGATTACGCTAGGCATGTGGCTACAATTGGAACCCCCGCCGGATGAAACATCAGACGGTAACCAATCCGACACCAGAAGAAGATCCGGGTGAGTTATGTGACAACTGAGTATAAAAGAGTTGTTGGATGTGACCTCAATTGCTCGTATGCTGTTATTGTCGACGGTGATACTTTATTAGCTGGCTTCTCAGATCGCACTGTTGGTTTGGTTTTTACAGGCCAAACCCTACTCACGTCCAATGCTGTGCGAGGATTCCCAATGGAGACATTGACAGAACGTGTTCAGCGCTTGTGTCCTGTGGTTCCAGGCCATAGAGCGCAGTTGCTAGCAATGCAAGTGAACTGGATGAAAGGTGTGTCCGCGATGAAGTTGTACGTTTCTGATACGTTGTACTCGTATACCTTATAGTATGAGGCGTGTGCGGTGCTTCGTACTGCGAAGTGGCAATGAGATTTGTGGACATTCCTCATGAAGTTTCCGCTATGTACTTCAGTCAGCGCAGCAGTTTGAAAGCACATTGCAACTCATTGTGGTTTGGCTATGGACTTGAGAGATTGTCTATTAATAACTGCCAAACACATCGTTGCTTGTCTGCTCTAGGCTCGGATTTTCCCTCGCACAAAGATCTGCCCGATAAAGAGGGATGGGGTGATATCATAGCCGCCATTTCACTAGGCAGTGGAGGGGATCTTGTCATCAAAGATCCAGTCACCGAGCAAGCGTGGACGATGCATGTGAACACAGGTATAGCGAATATGTAATTGGTGAACCATATGTATGAACA